CCCCCCCCCCCCCCCCCTCTCTTCACGTTTCTGCTTAACGTCACCTGATCACGAGCTGCGCCATTCTCATCGCAATGTGAGATGGACAGAGAACATGTGGCAAGTGGGAATGGAGTTCAATTGACCCATCCGAATAGACAATCAGCTGCAACCAAGCACAGACGAAACATAGCCAAACTGCAAAATAGCCAAAGCCCGAATAGCCAGTTGTGCATGTGAAATACTAAAATAGCCAACTTTACATGGAAGGGCTAGTCTCAGCATGTAGCAGGAACCGCCCAGCGGCACACCGCGGGGCATTAAGCTCCTGGCATGCCTTCATCTCCATTCCTCTCAGTCAAGTTTGACCTCAGCTCAAATTGTCTGTGCACCGTCCCCCTCGTCTACCCCTTCTTCCCGCCTCACCCCCCTCCAGCTCCCCCCGCCCACCCCCCCCACCACTCCTCCTTTCTTCCCCAGTCCTAATAATCCCATGACCCTATGGTCGCATTATTACGTCACATTAGATGCGATCAAAATTCATCAAAGTGGAAACGGTGAGAACAACAGGAAAAAGAAAAGAAAGAAGAAGAAAAAAAAAGAACAACAGGAAGGAGGAGAGGGGAAAAACGAGAGGGGAACACCATTGCGCACGCACCTGACCTGCATCCACTCGTGTATCTCCCACACTCGCTCCATGTCTCCTGAAAATACATTCATAAGACTGTTGTAGATGTACACATTTGGTTTGACCCCATGCTGTTTCATTTCCTGTGAAGAAAAAAATGGCCAAAAAAATAGAAGGGCAACGATTCAGGCCAATGAGTCCTTCAGAAGGTCCTGCTACTTACTAATTACCTAACTAATTACTAATTAGTACTAATTACCAATTAGTACTAGTGTTAAATAAATTAACAGTTGCTAATTAAGTTAAATTAACTCAGTAAAATAATTCAATAATAATAAGTAATTAATACTAATTACTAATCAACTAGCTATACAGTAATTAGTATGTAGTAATTAGTAATTAGTAATTAGAAATTAGTAATTAGTTATTAGTTCTTAGAAATTAGAAATAAAAAAACTGACTGGTAAAAGGTTCAGAAGCAGCAAGGTCCCATGAGAGAAAAATATTTTTTGTTAAGTTTTCAACTTTTCACCTCTTAAGGTCTAAGTTAATTTTTCCCTTGGCTTTCCTTCCATTTCTTTTTTATTTTTATTTTTTGGGGAGCTAGAAGCCTAGAAGTTCATTAATTTATCCAGAAGGATGCTCCCCAGGCTGGAAAAGGAGCCAGAACCCTAAGATTCTTTCTTTTTTTTTTTTTTTTTTTTTTTTTTTTTTTTTTTCAATTATCCAGAAGGATGTGTCTCACCCACTCATTTTAAATCCAGCGGCGCGATTTCACAGGTACTAAGGTAGATCCAGCAGCAGAGAGAGAGGAGAGCTCAGCTCATTTTATGATTCTTTAATTACTTCTTGCAGTTGCTCAGTCAACATGTGTCTGACAAAATTTGACTCTTCTGAGTCAAAGGGGATTTGACTCCTTTGACTCAAGAAAGTTTCAACCCCTTCGGTCAAAGCGCGGTTTGACCCGTTGATGTTTTTCTTCATTCCCGGACAGCCGTTTTAAAAGTGTAACGATACAGAAAAGATTAGCAGTAGCATGCGCCCTGGGCAAGGATGACTTGCATAAACTGAGAAATGGCTCAAAATTCAAATTAAAAATAAAATAAAATAAAATAATGAAAACGCTTCCAGGAGGGGGAGGTGCAGGGGGTGTCAGCAAAAGTGGGCTATTGGATGGCATGAAACAAAACAAGCCTTTCTGGTACACCGTTGCAGGACAAGTCTGGGCCAGTCTGTGCCATCTTGGGACAGTCTGAGACAGTCTGGGACAGTCTGGGACAGTCTGGGACAGACCTGCTGGACCAGTCTGGGCTAAGGTCATGCTAATTAATGGTCTGCGACTCTGCGTATCTGTATCGGTCCAATTTTAACAGATGCCTCGACGGGACGGCACATCAAAACTTTTTTTTTTTTCCCCCTCCGTTTTTTGTCTATGTGGAGTCTTTCATCATCTGCTAACTATAACTTTTTAGACATTTTTTATTTTTTTCTCTCTGTGAGATGGGAGCAGAAAAAAACTTACAAAGACGGATCTTTTTTTTTCGTCCTTTTTTTTCTCTTCTCTCTTCTTTTCTTTACGCATAATTATAATTTTTAGACATTATTCTCTCCCTGAGATGGAAGCAGAAAGAAACTTCAAAGAAGGATCCTTTTTTTTTCCTGTTCTTCCTGCGGTGTCTTTCATCTGCTAATTATCATTTTTACTATTTTTTATGACATATTTCTCTGTCTGAGATGGGAGCAGGGGCCTGGACCGACACACTCCGTTTTACGCTTTGGGTCTGGGGTTCTCGATTACGTGCGGCCGTCCGTGACAAAGGTCGGTCGTTGATTGCGGTCCGTATCGACTGTCCACAGCGATTGTCTGTGTTTTCGGCGAGGCAGCTGGCCAGCAGCCAATAGATTTTTTTTAAAACCGTTTGTCGGCCATTTCATTGTCCACTTTGCGTTGGTGCGAAGCTTGAATTCTGTGTTTTTTTTTTTGTATGGGGTGTTTTTGAAGCTTCGCGCCGACGTAATTCGGCTTTCGGAAATTGAGAATCGGGAGTGAGTCCGTGGAGAAAATTTAATTGTCTGTCCACTGACATTTGAGGGGGGCATGGCAAACGGCGTGTTTGGTGGCAAAATGCTCGGTAGGATTTCACCACAACCAAAAAGGCAACACACACAGCGTCAACCTCTCCCCTCTCCACAAATGGAAAGAGGTGTCCGCCCATCGGCTGGACTGTTTCCACTCGTAGTTTCTTTGATTGTCCAAGGCGGTGCACATGCCTCCATGGTACGTCCACATGCACGTGAAGACGACTGATGGGAGGCCGCACTCAGATGCACCGCCCAACTTACAACACACAACCCCCTCAAAACAGCATGCCCGTGAAGTGTGCTGCCGCTACTCCACTGTCATGATGAGGCCGTCAGAGTGACACAGGGATTTTGCTGGCGGGTTCTCTACTTTGCGTTTCCGAAAAACAAAAACGGTTTTTGTCTTTTATGTTTTTAAATGCAAAACGGGCACCACACACCGTTTTACGCGTTGCTAGTCGGTCCAGGCCCCAGAAGGAAACATCAAAGAAGGATCTTTTTTTTTTAATTCTTTTTTCTTTTTTTCCTATTCTTTATACGAAGTCTTTCATTTGCTAATAATAAATTAATATTTTTTATGACATTTTCATTTTTTTCTCTCTCTGAGATGGGAGCAGAAAGAAACTTCAAAGAACTGTCACTAACTGAGGAATTGTCATTCATTCATTCATTCATGGGTGTACCCAAGAGCCTAGCTCAGTGGGTGGGTACACCCATGAAAAGGTGAAATACAGAGCCGAGTTGCAGTCCAGATGAAGGTACTTAATGAGTAAAACCAAATATTATTATATTAATGAATTGCCTGGGCCCTGTCAGCTCAATGATGATATCTCAAGGCCGTCACCCTTAACAAACAAAAAAAAAAAAAACAGGAATTGCCATTCACTTGATTGAGCACAAAATGTGAGGCCTTACTCTCGTGGAGGACATAATGTGCCACAAAGGACGTGATCTACCTCGCCTCGAGTCCTCTCTCTTCCTCCTCCGGGGCTAGGTCCCACTTGCACGAATTAAGAGATTCTGACCGTAGATAGCAAAGATCAACGTCCGAAATCTCTTAATCCGTGCAAGTGGGACGTTGCCCCCGGTCAGGTGTCCTAGAGCTCGACCGGGATGGCAATCTGCCCATATCCAAGAGTGCTGACGGTATAGCCCCACGCTAGCGAGTGCCGAACTTGCCGTACTTGAAATGTCAGCGCTCAAATCGTCCGTATCCAAACAATTACTAATAAGTTAATAACCCTCATGCCAAAGTGCTCAGATTAACTCAAAATCGCAAGCGCTAGTGCAACGATTGCAAGGGTCCGACGATGACACTCCGCAACGTGGATAGCCTCAAAAGTACGAAAAAAAATGAAGAAATACAGTTAGAAGCCGATGCTCACGACATAGAAATGGCCGAACAACGATCTACCACGCCCATACGAGATAAGCAAAATCAAATAAAACGCTGAAAAAGAGGAGTACGACACCCACTGGGGGGACGGTACAACTGCCCTTTGTTCTAGTACAGGAACCGGGAACATGGAGTCCTGTCCTTTTTTTTATAACCAAAAAAAAAAAAAAAGAATCAGAACTTGAACCACTAGTACCTTTGCCACCTCAGGTGGGCCTCCGACCTTTTTGAAGGCCGAAACGAAACGACGGCCGCCGATCAGATTTATCAATGGCAGCCGTCATCGGGCCCGGCCTCAGAATTTTCAGGAGTTTGGGAAAACGTCCACTTTTCCCTAATTTCCCAACACTGGTGGAGGTACTAGTGCTAAAACAAAAAAAAGCAGTAGCACTGCACAATGAATAGGAGTGTGTGGATAGAGGGGGAATAGTAGGAATACCCCTCTGAATTTTTTAATTTCTTAAAAATTTCCTCCTTTTTTTAAGCTGTCATCTTCATTGGGGGACCGCCACTCTCAAAATTTCAAAAGTTTGTCAAATGCCCTTTTTTTGGACTTTTTGGATTTAAATCTTTGTGTTCTACCCCTGTTAGGGGGTTGTGCAAGTTTGTGTTCTACCCCTGTCAGGGGGGTTGTGCACGTTTGTGTTCTACCCCTGTCAGGGGGTTGTGCAAGTTTGTGTTCTACCCCTGTCAGGGGGGTGTGCAAGTTAAACTTTGTGTTTTACCCCTGTCAGGGGGTTGTGCAAGTTTGTTTTCTGCCCCTGTCAGGGGGTTGGTTACCAATACCCATCGGCGAACTCGATCAAAATTGTTGTTGTGCACAATTTAAAAAGTGCCCTGTGTGATTGCTGCAACTGTCTTCACCTGTGTGATTGTACTTATTCGTTACAGGAAGAAAAAAAGAAAAAAAAGGGTTCAAACCCTTGACCTATGGTTTTGGAGACCATGCGAGTGTACACCTTCATGCGGAACCCAGGGGTATAACACAAAGTTGGCAACCCCCTGACAGTGGTATGAATGCAAAGATATAACTCGAAGAGGGCATTTCACAACTTCTGAAATGGAGTATTGCGCTCTACGGACATCTTTTAGGGGTAGTTCAGCAAATATGTGAGCTGCAAGGGGTATTTCACTATTCTGCAAATTTTCACCTATTTTTAATAGGTGAAATGTAGATTTTTGTTTTTTGAAAATTTACTAAATTAGTAAAATTAAGTCTTTTGATTCCACCAGGACCCACCTCAAAAATAACCATCGCCTCTTCGGTCAGGTGAGTCGCCGCACATATGTCGAGCAAGCTCCGGTACATGTACACTTTCGGTTTCAGATTCTGACTGTGGATTGCCTGCACCACTAAGCGCCCTCGGGCCAAGTTTCCCTCACGTCGGCACTGTTTCAAGACCTGGTTGTACCAATAAAGCCTCCCAGGAAGAATGGCAATGTACCTGCTGACAAGTCAAGCCGGCAAAACAGAAGAAAGAGGAGAGGGGGAGGAGGAGGAGGAGGAGACAAAAAAGAAGGTTAGAACATGGAGGTTAATATAATGACTTACTTATTTATTGAAAGTGGGAAAATTTGTAAAATACCCCTAAAAGTTCGCATACATGCTAAAAACGCCCCCTGAAAAATGAGGGTAGAGCGGAATACCCCTCTGGGATTTCAAAGTTTCTGAAATGCCCTTTTGGATTTAGATTTTAAACCTTTTGTGATTTACCGCAGCTGTCAGCGGGTTGTGCAAGTTCGCATTCTGCCCCTGACACAGCCATCTACTGACAGCTAGAGGTTCATCACCCTTACCTCCATCATAGTCTAGTAGAGAGAAACATTCTCATTGCAACAACAGCCCATTGAAAAACTCACTCCAAGCAAGCAACAGGATGAAGAAGAATAAGAAGAAGGGGAGAGAGAGAGAGAGAGAGAGAGAGAGAGAGAGAGAGAGAGAAGAGAAGCCAAAGAGGAAGATAGCCTAGGCCTGCCTCTGCCACCTCCTACTCCTACTCCCGATAGCCATGGAGGTCCTCACCTTCTCCCTCCAGCTCCACCTGCTCCTCCTACCGTCTTCACCCGAATAGAACGCCCGGTCATTATACCTGTATTTGGTGCAACTTTCAGTCCAGATTCGGCAATCATTACCGGGCGTTCTCTTCGGGTGAAGACGGTAGTGCTCCACTTACTTCCCCACCTCTGCGGAGCACCACATTGCTCACTCCAAGTATGAAACGAAGAGCATCTCTACAGTAACTTTCGGTCCACAGTAACTTTCCCTTGGACCGAAAGTTACCGGTACGAAAATATTTTCCTACCAGTAACTTTGGGTCGAATTTTACTGTAGCTCGGCCTCCCTTGAAGCCCTGGACCTACTGGAAGTTCCTGCCTTATGGCGGGTCCGGACCTGAATCGAACCCAGTAGCTGTCTACATACAGGCCCTGCCAGTTGGACCTTCAAGTTGGTAACTTTTGGGCCCTGGACCTACTGGAAGTCCCAGGGCCTGTCTTTTGACGGGAACATTATTGCAGCGGTCGTCGGGGCGTGAATCTACCCTAGTACCTGTCCAGAAACAGGAGTTGGACCTCTGTAACTTTTGGAAGTTACTGGAACTTTCCCCTGTCAGTGAGTCTACTAAACCTACCTGGGCCAACCCGAGTTGCTGAAAAAGGCCTACCGGGTCCCTATCAATTTCTGCAACTACCCCTCGCGGTCTAGAGTTTCCGGTTAGCAGTTCGTCTGTTGCCAAATTTCAGGTATGTCCCTGTATCTATACCTACAATTACCATTCTACCCCAGCTCAGTGCACAGAAACACACACCACAAAAAGCAGAGCTAGCACAACTTGAAGGACACATACTTAGACTCAGACAAACACAAGACACTCATACACACACACACACACACACACACACACACACACACACACACACACACACACACACACAC